ATGACCTTTCAGCAGTTCTTGCACGTGATGCGGATACGCCATCGCTGCAGCCTGCCCTGGCATCTCATGGATTGCTTGGGACGAACTTGCGTGTAGAAGATGCTGGCGAGGACAGAGACGCCTTGTTTCCGACGGTTCCGTTTTTCTAGTACATGAAGAAAAACCGAGGAAACCCATATCTATACGGGGATAGGTCACATATCTATAAGAAGACCCTTGGAAAAGCTAACTAGGAGGGAATAGTTCATATATGTTCGAGTTTATAGATCTTGTCGTAGCGCTGAGCAATTATGTCCGAGATATGATATGTGCTTGATCCGATTGCAGGTCTTGGATGATACCGACTTGCACGACCTGCAGCCCGTGATCATGGTATCCGAATCGGAAGATGAAATACTTTCTGAATCCGTATTTCCTACGCTCCCAGTCCTTCATCAGGTGATTGACTTGGATCCTTCTCAGGCCTTGGTGACAGATGAAGAACCAAGTGAAAGTTGAGGTTGTCTGGCAGGTGGAGCCATTGCATCCAAGGTGAAATTTGAGGTCGTCTGGCAGGTGGAGCCGCATCCAAGGTGAAAGTTGAGGTCGTCTGGCAGGTGGAGCCATTGCACCTTCACAAATGGCTTCCTTTGAATTCTCGAGACCGTTCGGTCCACCGTTCAATGCAGTCTTGTCCGGCCCGTCATGGGAAAGAAACTGCTGTCAAAGAAGGCGTCCGGACAACATACGTGTCAAAGTTGTGGTGCTCGAGGTCATCATACAACATCCTGCCCGCAACTTGCGCAACGGCTTCTGAAAGCAGTGACGAAGTTTGTGCAAGCTGATGCGATAGACAAACATCTGCAGAAAAAAAGACCGTTGCGAGTGCTGGATGTGCCGCAAAGACCACGCCGGTCTTTGAAGAAAGCTTCTGGCAAGCGAGGGAAGAAATACTCCTGGAAAGTTGATCCTGCGATCAAAATGCCAAAGAAGAAGAAAAGTCAGAAAGCCAAACAAAAGAATCGAGAAAATGAAGCCCGCAGAAAGGAAAGACCGGCCAAGAGGAAGTCACAGCAGTCTTCTTGGACGTACAAAAAGATGCGATCAGCTTATAGGATTCTTCTGGAAAGCAAATGGGCATGGCAGCCGAAGAATTGTCCGCAATGCGACGGCAAGCTTTTTTTGGCTGATGAGGGAACATGTGCAGTTCGCGGGCATGGGCGGCTTTTTTATCGTTGCCAATCCTGCGATAGAAGGTCAGATGTCCTAGCTCATAGCAGGCTGCAGACACTGCGCATGCCCATCTGTCATATTTTGCAAGCCATGCAAATCTATTTTCGCAACAGCAAAATTCCGACCCTGTCTGAAATGGCGGCAGAGATGGGATACAATGGTATGACTGGTGGGTGCCTGGAACGCCTTCGTTCCCATTTGTTGGCTCGTGAAGCTTCGTGCGCCTTGCATCAGCAAAAGCACCGCCAGTTATGTGGAGTTGTGGAAGTAGACGGCACCAGTCTACGAAAAATTCGAGTCAAAGGAACCACTACGCTGCGCTACTTTCAAGCATGGGGTGCTGTGCAAAGAGGAGCTCGCAAGATGGCAATCTTCAATTTGGGTTCCTCGATCACATGCTTACCTGTTTTTACACGCATTTGTCATTATCTTTAAAAAAAAAACCAATATACTGTTGTTGTGATGCTGGGAACCTACAAACGCCTTCTAAGGTTTTGCTGATGCCACAAACTATGGAAAACCTCCGGTGGAAGCCAAGAAGAAGATCGAGGATGTGAAGGGATTTGATTGCATTTCGCGAATGCATTCTGGACAGAAAAGAACAGTGGTTTGCTCCGATGGGGCAAAATGCTACCCTGGATTGACATCGGCTAACAAGCTGATACATTTTGCCTGCTCCCATCGCAAAAACCAATTTGTCAAAACAATCCGCAGACAGGCTGGAAAGACCTTCTTAGTTCATACTGGCACCATCGACTCGTGCTGGCGTATGATCAAAGCCAGTGTTCCCGATCAGTTGACATCTTGCCAAAAAAACGAAGAAAAATTGAATGACCTCATGTGGACTTACGTTCGCACATGGCAGTGGCGATGGGAAGCAAATGTAGTTGGAAAAAACCTGTTGGAGAAAACAGGTGCGTACCTTGCGAAGATGTAGAGATCACCGGAAAAAGTGGCTGCCGCTGGGGTTTTGGGCACTTTCACTTCCCAAAAGGTACCTTTTTTGCACTCCGACATGTCTACTATATACAGTAATTCCCAATGAAAATTGAAAATCGCAATAGAATTGACCTTCAAGGACAACATAAAAACATCAAAAAACACTGCGAAACGCATGATTGACTTCTTGCCAGTCACATGAAAATGCTGTTTTTACTCGGCCCATTTCCAACCCGGCGGGTTGCTTGTAGATGTTTGATGATGTTTGTAGGTATAGAACCGTATACGTATAATTATGTATATAATTATGTATATAATCTATTTTTCAATGATATACAAATATATATGTATTTAATTATATATATACACATATAGGTATATTGTAATATTGTTGAACTACCCGCTTAACATATCTTAACATATCTTAACATTGTCCAGCATCGCCTAACAAGGCTATGCGACCATGCATTAATCTGCGCCGGGCCGCCTTGTTCTCTTTTCGTTCCAATTTCCCAGAGCGTACACCAACACTACGTGTTTGGGCTGAATTCATCATGTTTGATGATGTTTGATTATTTCTGATATTTTCTGATTATTTCTGCTGCATGTAAAATATTGTAAAACCATTTTATATGACATCACACATCATTATACAAACCTTGTTGACTTTTAAGGATTTGTCTGTGTGTTTATTCCCGAGAGCGCCTGCGAAGGGTTCTTCGTAAAAAAGCAGCCGTTATACTAGATCTTCACTCCTTCACATCTGCTGATCTAGATCTTCACACCCTCACACCTGCAGATCTAGATCTTCACACCTTCACACCTGCAGATCTAGATCTTCACACCCTCACATCTGCAGATCTAGATCTTCACACCCTCACATCTGCAGATCTAGATCTTCACACCCTCCCACCTGCAGATCTAGATCTTCACATCCTCACACCTGCAGATGTAGATCTTCACACCCTCACATCTGCAGATCTACATCTTCACACCTTCACACCTGCAGATCTAGATCTTCACACCCTCACATCTGCAGATCTAGATCTTCACACCCTCACATCTGCCGATCTAGATCTTCACACCTTCACACCTGCAGATCTAGATCTTCACACCCTCACATCTGCAGATCTACATCTTCACACCCTCACATCTGCCGATCTAGATCTTCACACCTTCACATCTGCAGATCTAGATCTTCACACCCTCACATCTGCAGATCTAGATCTTCATACCCTCACATCTGCAGATCTAGATCTTCATACCCTCACACCTGCAGATCTAGATCTTCACACTCTCACATCTGCCGATCTACATCTTCACACCTTCACATCTGCAGATCTCCTCTCGCTCTTCTTCTATTCTCTCTTAAGGCGGGGGCGGTGCCGCCGGAGCGCCACGAAACGCAACCCTTTCGCACGAAATGGACGTTGGACGCCAAAAACTGAGGAAAAATTGCGATTTTACTTTGTCCATCGCAACCCTTTCGCACGAAATGGACGTTGGACGTTAAAAACTGAGGAAAAATTGCGACTTTGAAGCGTCGCGCGCAACCATTTCGCACGAAATGGACGTTGGACGTCAAAAACTGAGGAAAAATTGCGACTTTGAAGTGTCCCGCGCAACCCTTACGCACGAAATGGACGTTGGACGTCAAAAACTGAGGAAAAATTGCGACTTTGAGTTGTCAATCGCAACCCTTACGCACGAAATGGACGTTGGGCGTCAAAAACTGAGGAAAAATTGCGACTTTGAGTTGTCAATCGCAACCCTTACGCACGAAATGGACGTTGGACGTTAAAAACTGAGGAAAAATTGCGACTTTGAAGTGTCCCGCGCAACCCTTACGCACGAAATGGACGTTGGACGTTAAAAACTGAGGAAAAATTGCGACTTTGAAGTGTCCCGCGCAACCCTTACGCACGAAATGGACGTTGGCCGTCAAAAACTGAGGAAAAATTGCGACTTTGAGTTGTCAATCGCAACCCTTACGCACGAAATGGACGTTGTGTGTAAAAGCGTCCGTGTGTAAAAGTGCAAAAGCGTTTGTGTGTAAAAGCGTCTGTGTGTAAAAGCGCCTGTGTGTAAAAGCTTCTGTGTGTAAAAGCGTCTGTGTGTAAAAGCGTCTGTGTGTAAAAGCGCCTGTGTGTAAAAGCTTCTGTGTGTAAAAGCCTCTGTGTTTGAAAGTGTTGTGTGTAAAAAGTTCTGTGTGTAAAAGCTTCTGTGTGTAAAAGCTTCTGTGTGTAAAAGCGCCTGTGTGTAAAAGCTTCTGTGTGTAAAAGCCTCTGTGTGTAAAGGAGTCTGTGTGTAAAAGCTTCTGTGTGTAAAAGCGTTTGTGTGTAAAAGCCTCTGTGTGTAAAAGCGCCTGTGTGTAAAAGCTTCTGTGTGTAAAAGCGTCTGTGTGTAAAAGCGTCTGTGTGTAAAAGTGCAAAAGCGTTTGTGTGTAAAAGCGTCTGTGTGTAAAAGCGCCTGTGTGTAAAAGCTTCTGTGTGTAAAAGCGTCTGTGTGTAAAAGCGTCTGTGTGTAAAAGCGTCTGTGTGTAAAAGCTTCTGTGTGTAAAAGCTTCTGTGTGTAAAAGTGACTGTGTGTAAAAGCTTCTGTGTTGTAAAGCGGCCTGTGGTGTAAAAGCTCTTGTGTGAAAAGCCTCGTGGTGTAAGAGTCCCTGTGTGTAAAAGCTTTCTTCTGTGTGTAAACAGCTCTGTGTGTAAAAGCGTCTGTGTGTAAAGCGCAAAAAGCGTTTGTGTGTAAAAGCGTTGTGTGTAAAAGCGCCTGTGTGTAAAAGCTTCCCCCGTCCCGTGTGTAAAAGCGTCTGTGTGTAGAAAAGCGTCTGTGTGTAAAGCGCCTGTGTGTAAAGCTTCTTTGTGTAAAAGCCTCTGTGTGTGAAAGTGTTGTGTGTAAAAGGCTTCTGTTTGTAAAAGCGTCTGTGTTAAAGGACTCTGTGTGAAAGGATCTTGTGTGTAAAAGCGTCTGTGTGTAAAAGCGTCTGTGTGTAAAAGCGTTTGTGTGTGAAAGCGTGTGTGCGTGTGTAAAAAGCATCTGCGTGTAAAAGCGTCTGTGTGTAAAAGCGTCTGTGTGTAAAAGCGTTTGTGTGTGAAAGCGTGTGTGCGTGTGTAATAAGCATCTGCGTGTAGGAGCGTCTGTGTGTGATGGCATTCTCAGTTTGGAACGCAGCGAACAAATCCTTTGCAGTGGATTGTGCAACTCTGCACCGACAAGCATAGTTTACCTCTTTACCTCTTTCCTTGGCTCAGATGTGAACGTAGAGACAAGATGCATTGTGTACAGAGTGAACATCCATATTCTTATATGTACGCTGAATGTTCGTGAAACAAGTGACGATTGGCAAACAGGTATCTTGAACATTTCTTGGACTTCTCGAGGTTTCTGTGGGGGCTGTCCCTGAGATCTCGAGAATTGCATTGTGACAATGTCAGTGTTTGTTTACGATGCAGTGGATCTATGTAAGTACAGCACGAAAAAATATATGTAATGTTTTCATGGAAATGCATGAGCAGTGGACAAAAAATACTATTCGGGCCGATCCTGACATGCCGCCATTTTTAAGTCGGGACCTTATATGCAAATGAATAACATGTGGTTTGATGATTTGATGTGTTCATTGTAAGCTTCACTGTTGACACGTTCAGCCTTCAGTTTGCAGGACTCTGCGACAGTGGTTCTTTGCCATGTCAAACTCATGAGTGGCATTCTCAGTTCTTTTGTGGACATGTCCATGATGATTGTTTTGTGCACAGAGTGAACATTCTTATTCCCATATGTACGCTGAATGTTCGTGAAACAAGTGATGATCGGACCGCATGGTTTTTGACAATGAAAATGATCTGATGCTGGTTTCGCAGTGCGGTTGATGTATTTATATATAGCATGTGTATTGTTTGCATGTTTGCCATTCTTTGATAGACGTTGTTCGGGAAGCAGCAGCTGAGTTTTGAGCTTGCAGGTCGTTCTCCAGAGGATGGTGTCTTCTTATCGCAAGCTCAGGAGTTGCGATCCCAGTCTCGAGCTTCACAGAGTATGTTTTGCGTTGGTCCATGCTAATTCACTGTTTCACGTTCAGACCATGTTGACCTCTTTGCTCTATAGATGTGAATTGATCATTCCTTGTCTTAGATGTGAGCAAATGGACAAGACAAGAGTCACGCATGGGGAAACAAAATACCATGCAGCATGAGCAAATAGTGTAGGCATGCTTGACAAGACACCCCAACGGTTCTTGACAACACCTGTAGTTGTGCATTGCGGATCTGTTAAATTGCTTGAGTCGTGTTCAAGGTAGGAAACGTTTGTTCGATCACAGTGGCAGCCATGACCACTAGCGCTCGTGAGTGGAGAGCGGCGCGCGAAGAAGATATCAGGAAGGCTTACGCCGACAAAGAATGTTGGACTGACCTTGACCGCATTACCTGTTGGCACCCTTACTGTTTCGGGTCCATAGAGGAGTGGCCATTGGACGCTGCCGTGATCTGCAAACCTACGGATCGAGCGTCGGTGCTGCTTGGCAGCATCAAAGCGGCCTGCAGCTTGGAAGACATTTGCCAGGCTCTGTCGGTGAAGGTCACCGTGGTGGTGACCATGTGCGCAAATGAAATGGAGATTCGAGGCGCCCCAAAGGATTGGGCGCAGTATTTCCAGCAAGAAAATGTCTATCACGTCAAGTGTCATTTGGAAGACACGACATTGAAGCCGCCGCACCGTTGGGAGGAAAGAATCCCTGACTTGGTAGCTTCTTGTTTGGAACAGTGGAAAATTGTTTGTGGCCAACTCTGGAAACAGTCCATGCTGGCAGTGACCAGGGGCGAATCCATGCACGTGCTCTTTCATTGCTTTGGAGGCATCAATCGAAGCGCTGGGGCTTTATGTGCTTGGCTCGTCGTGGGTTACAACTACCCTGCAGAGGATGCCGTCCAGTTGCTGCTTAAGAAAAGACCTTCCTTGCGCCCTTGGCACAATCGCCCCTATGTCTTGGAGGCTTTGTGGCAGCTGGAAGGTTTGCGGGCCGAGTGGCACATGGAACTGAGCGCGGCGTGCACAAATTGATTTGCACCACTGTTCGCCTGGAGAAACTGTTCGTGGCGAACGTGGTAGATCAGTAGCCAACTGTTGTTTGTCTGTAACAATTGTTCGATCCTGTAGGGACATCGAAGAAATGGAGTGCAACAGGTGTTATCTATGCCATCATGCTATCGAACTTGTTTTTGTGGAATCATTCACTGCGTACACAAACGAATTTGCACCACTGTTCGCCTGAGGAAACTGTTCGTGGCGAACGTGTGACATGAGTAGCCAAGTGTTGCTTCTCTGTAAGTATTGTTCGATCCTGTAGTGACATCCGAGAAATGCAGTGAGCGAAAACTCGTCCAGGCCATCATGATATCGAACTTGTTTTGTGCCCGGAATCATTCACTGCGTTCACTTGTTGTTTTTTGGATACCAATTTTTAAACATTTCCAATCCAAAGCTGTGTTTGCGCACCTTTGTTTGGAAGTGAGGTCATACACGGCATCATGGTACCGGGCTTATTTGCTATGTCAAACTCCGGACTCCGGATTTCCACGATTCACGATGCGTTTCGCTGAATAGATGTGACGTTTGTAGGTCAAGCTGTGGTGGAAATATCGAAACCTTGCGCTTTCAACTAATACTTCTGTAGCCTGCATTAACAGCATGTCGCGCCTGGCAGCCGATTGCTTTACAGCTGCGGGGAGATTGCAATATACTTGTATTACATTCTGTTTTCAAATGAAGAAGCAAGAGATTGTACCCATTATGGGTCTTGGTGTTGAAGGATACCCGGCGGCAGCGCCCACATCGTTGGACATGACAGCAGTTAACAACAAACAAAATTTTGGTGCACAAACGTGTCGCATAAAGTATTTGGGGATTTAAATGTGGTCTGCCATGGCAGCGAATGCGGAGGGAATCCGTGCAAGGGCGGATGTCTTTGATGAACAAATTCTACGACACGTTCTTTCATTTGTGCCTGGGAGCTCTGAATTGGCTCCAAAATATTCTTTGCAACCAGAAACCGGACACTATCTGGTAAAAGCTGGTTGGCCAGTTGTTTTGAAGAAAATGTGTCATTGGAAGGAGGCAGACACCACCATCTGTATTTGCTGCGGTGCCAACCAAGAACCCGGCGATCCAAACGAGTCAGACGATAGCTGGACATCTCAGCAAATCTCTGCTGGCTGGGCAAAGATCATGACCGTGACAATACCACACTTTCGTCATCATCATCTGAAATATATCAAAAAAACAGTCAGAAGCATAGAACATGTTTGGAGGACAATGGCAGCCGAGAGATGTTACATCTGCGGGCACTGCAACGACTGCGTTGTGAATCTCGAGTATGAGCATCCTGCTGACTGGCTGGAAGATCTTTCTGCGTTCACAGAGATGCTGGAACTTAGGTCGTGTCCGTGGAGGTGCCCAGATAAAGATCGACCGCAGTAGCCGGATTGCTGCAGTAGTAAAAGCGGCAAACATGCCACATCTGCAGCATCATGGTACCGACCTTTGCTTGGACGCAGCTTGTGGGAGCTGGAAGGCTTGCGTACCGAGTGGCACTGAGTGCAACTGGCGCAAATTAATCTGTAGCACTGTTCGTCTGGAGAGACTGTTCGTGACGAACATGCAAAACCAGTATGTTCGTCTGGAGAGACTGTTCGTGACGAACATGCAAAACCAGTAGCCAACTGTTGTTTGTCTGTAAAGTTTTTTTTTCCATCCTGTAGGGACATCGGAGAAATGCAGTGAAACAGGTGTTATCCTTGCCATCATGCTATCGAACTTGCTATCATTCACAGCATTCTTGCACGGAGTTCTAGTTTCTTACGGAGCCTTTGTTTGTGTACTTTTGCATTTTGTAGCATTTCCATTGCGACTATGTTTGCCCACCTTTGTTTGCAACTAAGGTCATCCACGGCATCAGGGAGCTGGAAGGCTTGCGTACCGAGTGGCACTGAGTGCAACTGGCGCAAATTAATCTGTAGCACTGTTCGTCTGGAGAGACTGTTCGTGACGAACATGCAAAACCAGTATGTTCGTCTGGAGAGACTGTTCGTGACGAACATGCAAAACCAGTAGCCAACTGTTGTTTGTCTGTAAAGTTTTTTTTCCATCCTGTAGGGACATCGGAGAAATGCAGTGAAACAGGTGTTATCCTTGCCATCATGATATCGAACTTGCTATCATTCACAGCATTCTTGCACGGAGTTCTAGTTTCTTACGGAGCCTTTGTTTGTGTACTTTTGCATTTTGTAGCATTTCCATTGCGACTATGTTTGCCCACCTTTGTTTGCAACTAAGGTCATCCACGGCATCATGGTGCCGAGCTTCTTTTGTATCTCAAAGGTCTTTGTGTGGAAATGCGTCTGACCTCTCTCTCTCTCTCTTTATCTCTTCCCCCTCTTTCTCTCTGTGGTTCCACGACACATGTCATCTGATGCCCTTTACCAAATATTCTCTTCTTGATCAATCTTACTTTTTTACATCATGTCTTTCCATAGCTCATTAAAATTCACCAATAAAATTCACCAACTATTCACCGACTATCTTTTACGACTACCATACTCAGAGCTGCTTGAAACACATCTTTTTCGCTCTCGGGCCAACCGTCGTCTAGTCTGAAAAGTTGTGAAGCCAGCAAGGTGTGGTGTGTGCTGGGGAACTTGCGGAACTTCAAAGTCAGAATGAGCAATGCAATCGCCACGAACGCAGCTACGCTGCTGAAACTGGCATTGCGCCATCGACCCACCACCTTCCTCATAATAGAACAACCAAAGGGGTCTTTCATGTTCAAAATGGACGTCTTCAGAGAGCTTTTCCTACAGTTCTCCATGTTCCTGGTATTAACTTATCTTGGACTCTTTGGGCATGACCTGCTAAAAGCCAGCCATCTCCAGTCCAACATGGAGAAGCTAAGAGCACATTTGAACTTTTGGATCTTTTATGTCATTTCATGATATTTCATTTTCCCCCTTATGACATATGACAATGATCCATTGCCATCAATTGCCTGCCACCCTTGTCCAAGGACATTAGCTTCATTGGCCAGGAGAGCAACACGCCCCGTCAAGAAGAAGTTTGACGAGAGGATTGCGCGCAAGAAACTGAGGGCCGAGCGTGCTGGGAAAATGTCAAGGTCGTACTATACAACACAGTCGAAACGCCGTTTCTCAGGAGGCAGAGATCTACAGTCCAGCGCAGCTTACCCTCAACGCTTCTGCACAGCAGTGTACAAAGCTTGGGAGATGGCCGTGGCTAAGGCAGAGAAATGCCGAGAAGACCGGCTGATGTGCTTGGCATGAGCTGTCTTTGATGTTTGATGATATTACCGTGCATTCACGGCGCAAAGTTCCCTTGGTTTCTTCTCAGTAGTCTATTTCCTGAGAGGATGCACTATGATGCACTCATTAGCAGAAAGCGCGGCTCATGACTTGATGAGACGCGATGAGACAAAATGAGTTTTCGACGTGTCAGAATATGTCAGATCTTGATATCGTTCGATATATTTCGATATTAATTAATTAGACAAATAGTCGAATATTTTTGACATTGTTTGACCACTTTTCAGCCATGCCCCAGCATGCCCCAGCAACATCCAGCAACATCATGCAACTTAGGCTGGATCAGCCATGCCTGCTGATGGGCAAGACGGCCGTGTGGTTTGCTCAGAACCACTTAGATCCACCTAGATAATCCATGATAATCCTAGATATGCTTTAACTTGCTTTGAATTTTTTGGAAATGTTCAGAAATGTTCAGATTTGGAATGATTTGCACAGAACATGACAGATCATGACAGATCTTGTCAATTCATCATATATCCAAAGATGTGGTGAAATGTGGTGAATTTAAAAATGTAAGATGTAATTGGGGGAGGTGCTCAGACCATGGTGGTGTGCGTGTATTGGAACCTCCAAAATTGACAGCTTACATTTATGGATATTGTGTCTTTTACTTGTGCCCAAAGATATTGTGAATCAAAAATGTAAGATGTCTTCGCAGAAGGCGCTCAAACCATGGTGGTGTGCATGTATTGGAAGCTCCAAATTTTGACAGCTTACATTTATGGTTTTCGGGATGTTTATGTGATTTTATTTGAAGTTATGCTTAAGTAATACAACTTAGGCTGGATCAGCCATGCCTGCTGATGGGCAAGACGGCCGTGTGGTTTGCTCAGAACCACTTAGATCCACCTAGATAATCCATGATAATCCTAGATATGCTTTAACTTGCTTTGAATTTTTTGGAAATGTTCAGAAATGTTCAGATTTGGAATGATTTGGACAGAACATGACAGATCATGATAGATCATGACAGAACGGGGAAGATCTTGTCAATTCATCATATATCCAAAGATGTGGTGAAATGTGGTGAATTTAAAAATGTAAGATGTAATTGGGGGAGGTGCTCAAACCATGGTGGTGTGCGTGTATTGGAACCTCCAAAATTGACAGCTTACATTTATGGATATTGTGTCTTTTACTTGTGCCCAAAGATATTGTGAATCAAAAATGTAAGATGTCTTCAGAAGGCGCTCAAACCATGGTGGTGTGCATGTATTGGAAGCTCCAAATTTTGACAGCTTACATTTATGGTTTTCGGGATGTTTATGTGATTTTATTTGAAGTTATGCTTAAGTAATACAACTTAGGCTGGATCAGCCATGCCTGCTGATGGGCAAGACGGCCATGTGGTACGCTCAGATTTGGATAGATTTGGAATGCTCTGGACAGAACGGGGAAGATCTTGTATCATCTTGTAAGACCCAAAGGGATACGGTTCGCTGAGGGATATTTACCAGTATATACCCGAAGACTTTGTGAATTAAAAAATGTAAGATGTTTTTGGGGTAGGTGCTCAGACCATGGTGGTGCGCGTGGATTGGAACAGTGCCTATCTCTTTCTTTACATGTGGTTTCACAGTTGCAACAAAAAGGTTGGAGACGATGTGCTTGATGACAGAGGATCCGCTGCAGACAGTGTTGTGTGCTCAGTTTCGGGGAGCTGAATATGCTTACGTGGTCTTACATGATCTTACATGAACAGAGCGCAACAGAGATCAACAGAGCAGCAGCAATATGACGAAACATGCACACAATGATTTGCATTGACATACATTATCGTGCAATGACCAGCATGCCTTGTCATGACCAGTCGTGCCCCGACATTGAGATGGATATCGATCCAGATGCCGAATGGCCTAACTTGAGATCTGCCAGGAACTTACGCTTGGCTGTAGCTGCCATTGGCATCCATTAGCTGCCATTTGTTTCACAGTGTTTCAAACAAAATATAACAAATCATAACAACAGCAATGTTTCAAACACATGTGTTCTTTAGCGGGTGGCAAATGGTGGCAAGCCAGCGGGAAAATTGCTAGGATATGCTCGATGACGGTGAATCAGAGAGCGTTTGGGGGCTCAGAATGTTTTGTATTGTGTTGGAAACACATGAAAACAGCACTGTTTACATATGTTTTAAAGAATATTCAGGTATTTTCAGGCATCCATTTCGTCCATCTCTACCCCCCATTTTCCACCATATATGATATGGGCATGTCTCCTGGTAGGGGTATTTTTTTTCGGTTATTTCTTCTTCATTTTGAGACATACCCATATATACATACAGTACATATGCAATCATATGCATTTCTATCCACAATGCATCGTGCTGCATGTGAGCCATTGTGAGCCATTGTGATCCATTGTGGGCCCCTCAATTTGTAATTTTCCCATTGGTTTGGCTACGCGAGAGGGGTTAAGAAGGGCGACTTTTTTGTGCCCAAAAAGGGTTCCAAAAACAAAGAAAAAAGTCGCCAGTAAAAATCCCAAACCAAAAGGAAAATTACTACCCTCAATGCCCCAGCATGCCATAGTATGCCCATGCACGCCCCAGCTGCGATCAGCTGATATCAGCTGTGCTGAATTGTGCTGACTAAGGCCCAGAGTCACCAGAGTCTTTTTGCAGCATGGGCGCCAAGGTTATGATAGTTTGCTAAGCAGGATAGATCAGCATAGTTTTGTGCACATTTGTGCACTGGTGTCACTTGGTGTCCTCAAAATTCCACAATGCTTTTGAACCAGTTTTTTAGCCAATCGTTTTGCCTTTACTTGGAAAGTTATGGAATGGTATGGCGAGCTGTGGGCCCAAGAGTGTCAGATAGTGTCAGAGAAGGTAGGTTCATCCCAAAACAACCATGTCGGATGCCATTTGCGCAGGGGCTGATCCAGTGCCCTCGGCCAGCCAAGTGCCTCCCCAAAATGCTGCCAAGACTGACAGTCAAAGCCTGGAGGAGCCGCAGGAAGTGCCTACTAGCCAGGAGACATCATCAGATCCATCAGAAGATTCCACGAGTCTCTCAGAGGCCGGTCATGTGGAAGCCATGCATGGCGACACCGATTCCCAAGAAGATGCTGAGGGTGGGGTTTCCCTTTCCGAAGGGCGCACAGAGATACACAACTACATGCACAAGCACTACCACGTCCACAACGACACTTTCATGTTCCGGACAGAAAAACACAACCACCAGCACCATGAGCATCATCACCATTACCATTGGCACTTTCATTCCCAGTCCTGGCAGCCCCAAGCCAACAATGGACATCCGGAGATGCTTCCTGGCGTTGGGCCACAGCCCCAGCCTCCCAACACCAGCTCTGAACGCCAAGATCAAGATGCCCAAACCCGTTCCCAAGCTCTTGTCAGGAGTGACGGGCAACATGAGGGGTGTGGGGCAGAATCGCAGCTGAGTCGGCCCACCAAGCTGCGCAGAATGAATGCTTCCTATCCTCTGGAAGCCGATTATACTGGCTTGAGAATGGTTGCGTGCTGCCACAACGCTTTGATATGCTTTGACCAGATGCAAGAATGCCATAGAACTCCAGTTCGTCACCAATGGTAGCATTGGGGCTGGGGCAGTGGGGGCATGTGGGTAAAAGCCTACGCACTGCGTGGTTTATGATGGATTGTGCTGAATCCATCGCAGGTTCCAGTGACAAACCTGGCTCACACAGGATGCTGGGTGATGCTGGATACTACTGGCGATTCATTTGGTCTGAGAGTGTCTGAGATTGGCAGCGCAACGCTGAGTTGACATGAAAGGATATGAAAAGGTATGAAAAAATCAGGGCAGGTTGATCAAAGTAGGTTGGGGGCACCAACAGAGACGATCAGAGACGTCACAATGCGTCACGACGATTTTCCCATTTGGGTTTCAATTATATATATATATATATGTTTCTGTAAAATCCTTGTAGGCCCAACAAATGCCTACAGTGTCATTTGCCAGTTTGCGGTATGAATCAAATCGATTCGAACTGCCAGCAAGGGTGCCGCGCTTTGGATAGCTAGAGAGTGCAAAAATCAAAGCGCTCGTCACTCGCAATCTGACACATGATATGGTTTAGTAATGTTTAAAACATGCCCTTTCATGTAAAATGCATTTTGGCATATTTCGGCATATATACTTTTGGATATTTTCCCATCAAGTTGCCAGATGATACCGGATGCTGCCGGATCATGCCGGATTCTGAGGACGCCTGTTGGGGGGCATTGGACGCCGAAGTTTGGGACCCAGCTTTTAACCATTTTCAGTGGTGCATGGTGGTGTTTTTGAAAAAATGTAAGCTAGAATGCTTGAGGTGATAAAAATAATGGTGTTTGCAACAGATTTCTATGTCCAGGTGTGTACAGATTTCATGTTGCTTATTTCTACCTAAGTTATGTCACAACACGGCATATTTTGCAAAGCATCTTTCTGCTTGCCTAGGCTGGCACAACACCTGAGCAGGCATCTGCTGAGAACCACGTTGGGCACCTCAATGACTATAGATGACTGGGATGATGTCCTATGTAAACTGCTTCACTTATTTTAACTTCAACAAATACAAGATCCTATATTACCAATATATATATATATAATTATATATATATTAATAGGAAGCTATTTCGTGGAGGGTGTTTGAGATAGTGGTGGGCTGCATGGATCCTGCCCCCCTTTTGCGTTCAGCTTACATTTGTGCAGTTTGCCTGGCATATCTTGGAATTGCATGGTGCATGGTGGTGTTTTGGAAAAATGTAAGCTAGACTGCTTTAGGTGTTGAACATGATGGTGGTTTTGCAGAAGATCATCATGTCCAAACAGTCAAGCTTACATTTTTTTTACTGCAGAAGATGGAGTAAGATAGAATAAGAATCAGAAGCAGTAAGAAAAATGTGAACTATGTTGCAAAGCATGTTCCTATATTTTCCTGCTTGCTTAGGCTGGCACTGCAGCACCTGCTGTGAACGATGTGGGGCACCT